CTCTTTTGTGTCCCTCCCTGCAAAGTGTCTCTGTCCCCAGCTCCCAAACAGAGCTTATTCTGGCATGTAAAAAGATCTTCTATTGTGTAATTAGGTTATTCCTTTCGTAAATAGGGAGAAAATGAGAGGGAAATGCTCCAGGAAAGACTGTGAAAAAAAAATAAAGATACTGCTTCCTTTAAGTTCTGATTTAGGAGAGAAAATAACTTTCTAGACAATCTGAGGAGACATTTTAAGGGAATCAGAGCACATTCTAGAAAAGACAGAAAAACTGCACCAGGCTGCACCCGCCTCCACTGCGCCTAAGGACCTGGAGGAGGGAAGAACTGAAAGCAGACAGTAATTCCTTAAAGTCCTTTCCCCCTCTTATTTAAAGCAAATTAAAATTCTGCACACTTAAAAATAAGGCAAACAAGATTTATCATATTCTCATGCTATCCTACACTCAGCCCTGCCCCAAGCAAAGGAAAATATTTGAAACTGTATCTAAATAGTTCATGGCTACAATTTGTTTGCTTGTTTGTTTGTTTTTAAGCAAACCAGTTTTGTACATTTCAAGTTTTCAAAGGAAAACAGAACTTGGGAGTTTTCAGGGCTGTTTTCAAACAACTGGCAAGTTTCCAAGACCAGCTATCAGTTCAAAGCCCAGGCAGGAAGTACTGAGAAATCCCACCCTCCCTCCCGCCTGCAGGATTGCGTTCCTCTGCTTGCTTGACAACTGTGTGAGGTGTGATTTTGCTTTTTAAGGATCTGGATATCCACAGTTTTAAGAAGACTTTGTCCTGTAGAGACCTCCTTTTCTCTGCCCAGCCCTCATTCCTCATGTTTTCAAGCAAATGCTCCTTCTATGGCCCATAGCACCCAGCTAGACTCTTAGTGGGAGGCAGCAGGCTGGGCTGCAAACTGTGGTGCTACAAACTGAAGTCAGTGCACAGTGGGTGAGAATTGGCCCTCAGACTGGATCCTGCTTCACAGAAGGCCCAGAAAGCCATCTGAATACCACTGGAAAGAGGAACCTGTTAGTTTGGACCTCGTCAAGATTTTCAGGGGAAACCAAAAGGCCAGAGAGGGAAACAGGGTTCTGGTTACTGAGCAAGTAGAGGAAGCCTGTGAGCCAGGAAGGTTATGTAAAAGCAAGGATAGAGACACCTGCTGGGGGCTCTTTCTGAAGTTCAAGGAACATGAGTAAAGTTTTCCATATATCATACAAGAGAGAACTATCCATTCATCAACCACAATATTCAGGAATATCAAATCGACATGCACGGAGCAAGCATAGCACCCTACCCTGGCTTTCTCCTTACAAGTATGTTATTGTTTTTCAAGAAACACTACTACCCAAAGTGCCTCAGATTCACAGCAAAAAATATATCTGGAGTCTCCAAACCCAACATCAACAAGTGGATTTTCTGAAAAAAAATGGGGGGCTGCAAAAGTCAAGTGCCATTTTGCATTTTGCATTTGTAAGATAATGTACGATTTTCAGATTTCTTTTCTCTAGGCCTGTGAATTGGTCTTTTATACTCTTCCAAGCTGCAGTTTAGTTTGAGAAACTTTAAAAAACCAAGTCACATTACTTGTTTAAATACTATAACATGTCATTAAGTTTTTTTCATTATGCCGTAACCAAAAACAATGCCCCCCCCCACACACACACACACTGTCTTCTCTAGCAAGGAAAAAAATTCTCGGTCCAAAAAATAGAGACAGAGTGTTTAAAGATGTGAGCACAGCCCAGGAGCATTGCTAAAACATCACAGCTACAGCCAAGTGCCAAGTGTTCATGTCATTTAAATACATACTATTTTGTACACTTAATGCTATTTGATAGTTAATACATTATTTAGGTTACATGTATGCTTTGTCTCCTAGAATTTTAAGTCTCTAGAAAACTATTCTAGGAGATGAGAAACAGAAATAGCCCGTTTCTCTCTTTTGTTTTATTAAGCAAAGTAGAAAGTTAGGTTCTTACATAATGGGAAATGAGAAGAAAGTGGGGAAACGTCACCATCTTCTTGAACTACAATATACATTTGAGGAAACGTAAGACCTGTGCCTTCATTTTTAGAATTTTAATTTCATATTGTTTTCTCATGAGAAACTAGAAGTTGTGTCTAGGATTTCACTAAGTAGAAAGCAAGAACTTGGATTGTTTTTTGTTTGTTTTCCATTTTCTAAAAATTATAGTAAACACAGATTTTTGTTCCTTAACAATGCCCAGGAGGACCCCCTCCACTCCTACCTACACACACACACACACACACACACACACCCTTCTTGAAAAACACCTGTTTTAGGCAACCCTTTAAGATCTGGTACCCCTGGCATATGATTTTGATCAACCAGAGGATTCTATTTCTATCAAATACAAGTATTCTTTCTATTCAAACATTGTTTCCATTAGCTGTGACTAGAAACTTGAGTTCTTTCAACTAGACAGCAACACCGGAAAAGCAGATTCCCGTGGAGTCCATCTAGGCTCATCAAATAAATATAAACATAGAGCCCTTCCCTTTAACTGATTATGAATTCTCTTCTGAGATAGGTATGTGTGAAAAGGGCAAAGGCCATGTGGAGCCTGCGCTCTCTTGCCCTCCACACTCCTGACAAAGCTTCCTAGTAGGATTAACTCTGTCAGAAAGTCCCCATGCACTCAGACAGAACTGCACATTGATACTTCCTCTGAATCCAGCGTTTCACATCTCCAACTTCCTGAGATGTCACTAATGTCTGTCATTCCAGAGGCACCAGAACAATCCAGGACAACTATGCTGCCATGCTGAAATTCTACAAACCAAACAATCAATATGACTGCCATGACAGCCCAAGTAGCTGACCTTACATTCCCTCCTGGCCCTGATCTGATTACCTAAATCTCAGTTTGGGATGCCTAGTGGAGCTGACTTCTTTAAAATGTTCCAGATAATGCCCATGGCTTTGGCTGGCCTGAAAGTAGCAAGACCCAGAGACACTGTCAGGGTCCATGGGGCACTAAAGGCATGCAGGACCCAGACGGACTTGAAAAGCCTCAGCTTTCTTCAGGATCCACTCTTCCCACCACTACTACACTCTTTCCCATCTCTCTCTCTCTCTCTCTCTCTCTCTCTCTCTCTCTCTCTCCCTCTTTCCCTACCTCCCTCGTTCTGTCCCTCCCTCTCCTATTTCTTTAACTCTGCACAGCATTCACTAGTCCCTGGGAGCAATAGGTTAAAAGCAATCTAGGACAAAAACAAACAAAACAAAACCCCCAACTATTTCACTCACTTCAATCAAAACTTTCTCTTGTGGTTGCACACAGCACTGGAAAACCAGAACCATCACAAAGAAAGATTTGGGAAACATTTGGAAAAATTTAACTGAATGAGTAAAAGGTTTGGAATGTTTGATATTTTTCAGGCAACCCCTGAGCTTATTGTTTTTGTTTCTTTGGGGGGAGAAAAACAACTGTGAATATTCTTTTTCTTTTTTAAACTTGCCCAGCCATTTCTTTAAGGAAAGTAGCAGGCAGCATTCTCTACCCAGTTGCCCAAAGAGTTAATACTCAGGCAGCAGGCAGGAGGGATGGTCTATTTAAGCAGCAGCGGCAACCCAAACTAAGTGGGCACAAAGGCAAAAAGCAACATGCCTTGACCTTGGAGGGGCAGGGCAGAGTATAGAGCAATTGAAAAAGAAATAAAAATGGAAAAAGAAAAAAACAGCCTTTAAAATGCAATTTTTAGAGGCTGTTGTCCAGTTTGGTTCTCAAACGGGCATTGTCTGATGAGACCAAATAAATGGGAGATGAGAACCATAGCATGAATTACCAAAGCCTGATCATGTCAGCCAACCCAGTGACAGCACACATGGCTCAAATATGCCTTCCTCACTCTTGCGTGTATAGTTTCTAAGAAGATGGTGGGGTCTGGTTAATGCAATATGAAATCAGACTATCCATGTACTTGAGGTGATTGTTGCACTGACATTGTACCCCCTTCTCAAATCAGGTCCAATCGAATTGACAAATTGGAGAATTGATTTCTCACCTACCAGTCTTTGATGTCTTAACTGAAGGATAAAAGTTTTGTGTGGGTACTGCCCCTCTGCTCAGTTTTGTGGACTGGCCTCTGGGCCCCTAATGATCACTTAAGCTCATGCTCACACAAAGCCCAAAGTCTTTAACCAATTCAAGTGCAATTATTATCCATTACATTCCATGCCATTTTCAAGACTCAGACATCCAGATGGCAGCTAAGGGGATGGGAAAGGGAGGGGGTGGGGGCCAGTCTAAAAGTATTGACCATTTCTTCGGCATCTAGTTCCTTTAGCCCATAGCATCTCAATCGTCCCCCTGTCTGTCTCTGTCTCTGTCTCTGTCTCTCTCTGTCTCTGCCTCTCTCTCTCTCTCTCTCTCTCTCACACACACACACACACACACACACACACAGAGAGAGAGAGAGAGAGAGAGAGAGAGAGAGAGAGAGAGAGAGAGCCAAAGCAAAAACCATATTCAACAAACTCTGAGAGACTTCGGTGGGTGCCCTGGAACCCTCCCCATGCCCTTCTTTCATGCTGCACTAGGCCATGAAAAGTTTAAGTGGCCCCCACCCCCGGAGTGTTTTCTCTAAGGAAGGGGTGCTCAAATCTTTGAGATTCACACACAAAGAACAGCTTACTAGAAAACCTCCTGAAGTCTTATTCTTGTTCCCGAGAACGTCTCCTGGGACCTCCTTTCTAAAAAATCCCTGCTCACCTGCAAAAGACTTTAACCATCTCACTCACTAGCATTTCTGATGCTGAATAACAAAAGAACACCCCACTGAAAGTAGCCTGTCTTTAAAGAGAAGCTACACTCCGGGCTCCCTCTCCCTTCTTCCTCTGCCCAGTTAACTCCATTCCTACTGTTAGTAATTTGAAAGAGGTCTGCAGAGCGGATGGGGGTGAGGGAAGGGTCCGCTTGCCATGCCCCCCGGAGGAGCGCCAGACACCACGCTGCCTTCCAAAGCTCACGGGTCCAGCCATACCTTGGTTTGGAGGTACTGGGGACAGTAGTACGTGTACTGGGGGTACATTTGTGGCTGATCCAGGCGTTTGCCCATGTAGCTGGGATCTTTATCTCCGAGGCAGGAAACTGAATAACAGGGTGTATGATGCCCGGGGCGAGCTTCTTCCTCTTAATCCACTGTTCCCGGCAGTCTGGGTGACTGATGAGGCTTCCAAGACTCCACTCACTAGTTCCAACACCGTAAGGAATTTAAAACAACCAAAAAAAAACCAAACCAAAGCAAAACAAAGAACCAAAAGAAAAGAGAAAAAGAAAAAACAAAAAAACAGATGGGGGTTGAGGTCCACCTAGAGAAACCCCCAGGAGAGCTTCCCCAGTTCTTGCCTGCTTGCTTTCTTCTTCCCGGCTGCCCGGTCCAGTCCGGATGAAGCAGCCTGTCTCTAACCAGCCTGTCTCTAGTGGTGTCAATCGCAGGCGCTTGTAAAGGCGAAGGAGGAGGGAAAAGAAAAAAAGAAAAAAAAATCCTTCAGCACAACTCGGAATCCTTGCAGTACAGCTTTCGGTCTCTCGCGTGTCTCTTTCCCACCTTGGAAAAAAGAAATTGTAATAAAAGGAAAAAGAAACAATGAAAGAAAAGGAAAGGAAAAAAACTGGAGGGAAAAAAAGAAAAAAGAAAAAGAAAAAATAAAGAAAAGAAAAAGAAACCCGTGCAGGCTTAGTTGCTGCTGTCTGGTTCCCAGAGTGACATGGTGTGTTCGGGCTGGCCTTGCCCTCTCATTCACTTCCCCTCCTTCCAGCCAGTGGGTGGAACCCAGAGAGCCTCTCCAGGGAGCCGCGTACGCAGTCCAGAAGGCTGCAGTATTTCCTCCAAGAAAAAAAAAAAGAAGGAAAGAAAGAAGAAGAAAAAGAATAAGAAAAAAGAAAGAAAGAAAAAGGCTGCTGCTGCCCCTCTGCTGGCTATCTGGAATAGCAGAGTGAGCAACGTTTGCAGCTGAGCCCCAGGTGGAACCGAACCCCAGCCTGCCCTTGCGGTGCCTGGGTGGGGCATGGCCCAGCTCTCCCTGCCCTGCACCGACTGGGGCTCCCAAGCTCCCAAGCTGCCTTCTCCTTTTCAATCGTCAAGTTCCCAGAGGTGAGGCATGGCATTGCTGAACAAAACGGACCCCGCGAGGAGGGCAGGGAGAAAGGAGAGAGAGAGAAAAAAAATGTATACACACACACACACACACACACACACACACACACACACGTACATATACTTTCTCTCACACACGCATGCTTGCCAACCTTCTGAGTTAATTGGGGTGTGTGGGGGAGTGTGTTTAAGGCTTTTTCAGAACCTCTTAGCACACTAAGAGCCAGATGAACCCAGGACCTAAAGATGAAACCAGCGTTTTACCTTCTAGAGGACACAGAGGATGCTCAAGAGAGGAGAAAAAGTTGGGGTCCTTAGTTGGGTACTTCTGTGGGGAAACCATGGCCAATCTCAACAAGGGGGTATACTTAACTATCAGAAATAATTGTTTTATGGCTTCATCCATCTGTTAAAAAAATAAAAATCAAGGTGATCCTTAGGTTTATTTGCTTGTTAGAGAATAAAACCTCTCCTCTCTCCCTACCCCTTCTTCCCGCCCCCCTCCCCGTAATAATATTCTGACACTTCTATCAGCTGCTACATTATAATACAGACTGTTTCAGAGGAGATATATTTCCTTAAAGGGTCTCTCTGCAAGGCGGCGGCGAAGCTAAAATTAGCTGTGCCAGCTGTGTTTTGCTGGCAGTGCTCACGCATGCCCGGAGCGTGGGCAGCCAGCCTCTGTGCGCCTCTCCATTCCCCGAAGTCGGCTGAGCACTCCAGCCATCCTTTCAGATAAAAGACCTCGTACAAAGGCTTTTCTCACAGAGACCCGGAGTCAAAACGCAATACACACGATGCTACTCCTGTGTAAGTCAGGCTACTTGTGGGGCAACAGCCTGGGCTCCAGCAAGCTACTGAAATCTTTGTACCAGCGGAGAGAGAGAAAGATGAGGACAGAGAAATTGGTTTCCTCTCTCTCTCTCTCTCTCTCTCTCTCTCTCTCTCTCTCTCTCTCTCACACACACACACACACACACACACACACACACACACACACACACACCTTCTCCCTCTCCCTCTCCCTCTTCCCCATTTCTTTCCTTTTTCTAAAGACAGGGTCTCAGGCACCCCAAGCTGCACTTGAACTTGCTTCCCTATGAAACAGAATGACTTTCAACTTCCGATCCTCCTGCCTCCAATTGCTCAGTACTGAGATTGCAGACATGGGTCCATGTACCGAGTCTGTATGAGCACTGGTGGTTGAATCCAGGACCCTGTGCATGCTAGGCACACGTTCTACCAACCGAGCTATCTCCTGATGCCAAAAGTCAGGAGAAAGGAGCTCAAGCTGGGGTGCATGGATAAGATCCCTGAGGGCAATGTGATGGAGAAAACAAGCCAGCTCCACCCATATTTTAAAAGGGAAGAATCTGGGCCTCCGCTATCCCTTCCATAAAATGGTGAAAGACATTAACTGAAGCAGGCATCAAATCTACACCAATTGCAAAGCCTCTTGGCTACACCTCTGCACTCAGTGAAGCCCAGAACCTAAAGAGGTTGTCGAGACCCTGGGGATTTCATCAGTCCTTTATGTTTGCTCAGGGTCAGATTGTAAATTCTCCTCTTCACCCCTGATAGTTCAGCTCCGAGTCCCACTACACTGCAATCAGGTTGGTGATGTGGTCTCTGAATTACCACCTGGTAATCCTGGTCAGCTCTTCCTTCTCAGTCAGCATGGATGTGACTGGTGAAGCAGCTTTCCCTAAACCCTCACTTCCCAAGGTGCAGTTCCTTTGCTCACTGGGCTGCATTTCTCCAATGACCATCTAAACTCTCAACAGCGAGTTGAAGCCTCACAACCCTAAGAACTAACATGGAGTCAGACCATGCACGTTTCCTGTACATGCTTGAAGAACAAAAGATTTTAAACATGCTAAACAACTGTCCCTCAACTCAAGGCATGCTTTTGAAGTATTTTGTTCCTTTAAAAACATCTGAAAAGTATGCTTATTAATTGTATTTGTACATGCACACTTGTATGTAGAGGTCAGGATGCAACCTTTGGGAGTTGGTTCTCCCCCTCTAATATGTGGTCTTTCCCTGGGTTTGAAGTCAAGGGTGTGCTAGCCACAGCCCAGAGGCTACCATGAAGCAGCAAAGGGCAAAGACCTCAAGATGAGACTGGGGAGGAAATCTCCAGCTAAGCCATTGTAGCTAAGCTTGGTGTGATGGTTAGGTGTCAACTTGACGGGACCTAGAATCACACAGGAGATTACAAACTTCTGGGCAAGTCTCCGAGAGATTCTCACAACTAGGATAACTGAGGTGGGAAACCCCAACCTAAATGTGGGTGCCATGAAGCCACTAGCTTGGCTCCTGAAGTGAATAAATTGTGAGCCGAGCACCAGTGTTTGCCTCTCTGCTTCCTGGATATGGACACCATGAGACTCTTGGCCTCCTTCTCCTTCTGCAAGCATGAAGCCCTGCCATGATAGAGTGGACCTTCAAACCGTGATCCAAGTAAATCCTTCCTTTTTAAGTTGTTTTGTCAGCTGTTTTGGTGCAGCTAGGGGAGAAGTCATTGAAGTACTTGGTAAGGACCTGACATGGCCAGCTAAGCTCTTAACAGTGAGTGACACTATGGGAATCCAACCAGCCATCCTGACTGGTGAGTCAGACATCTTCTGCTTGAAGACACTATCATTCCACATGACCCTCTGAGCTCCTTCAGTTCCCAGGACTGGTAAGAGCAGCATTCAAGAAGTCCTTCACCAGTTCTGACCAAGGGCATTGGTTTTCTCATAGGAATTACTGGCTCTGGAGATTCCCTGAAGGAAACACTGTGTTATTTACAAACAAAAGGCTAAATAAATAATTCCTCAGTTGAAGTGATAGCCCACTTACATGTAAGGCTCTCAGTAGGAGTCTGTGCTGTCAGCAATTTCTACACAAATTGCAACACTCCAAATGCTATCCCATTCAATTGGATTGTTGTAATATTCTGGGCAATTGATGGTCATTAGCCTCAGAATCCTCATGACACTTTTAAGGCTTTCCATAAGTAATGAGAAGTGGGTCCAGAAGGATTGTGAAGTCCATGTTGACACACACACACACACACACACACACACACACACACACACTTCTTAGACACACTAGTAGCCATAGCCATTCAGCAGATGAGCTATTCCTATCAGAGATAGTTTTTTTTTCAGCATTTCTGTTCTGTTGAAGTATGGTTATGTGACTAGTGAAAGTAGGAGGCACTTGGTTTGAGTCACTCTCTTAATCAGAACCCTGCTATGCCCTACCTGCTAAGGAACCAACTAATCCTGGGGCAGAAGACAGCATGAGAGTACATGGGTGCTCCCAGTTTTGTGAGCTGCTCAGCCTGGCAGGAGAGGGCCCCACGGAACACAAGCTCTGCCTTAGATGGACTGGCTGCGCCACACACACCACACATAGGTGGAGTGGTATGGTGCTGAATGTCAGAGGAGTATGGAGACACCCATGGTCTGTCTTCAAGCTAAATAAAATCTGGATATCTTATGGAGCGACTCATTAATTTTTAATTATACAGACTGTGGTGGCTAAATTTCATTGCCCATCTGATAGGATTTAGAGTATCACAGAAAACGAAACCTCTAGCTATGTCTATGACAGAGTTTTCCATTAGGTTAATGGAGGTACAAAGACCAACCCTAAACATGATTGTGCCATTCCATGGGGTCTAGGGCTGGATAAAAAGGAGAAGTATAGCTAAGCACCAACGTCTGTCTCCCCGCTTTGCTTGCTGACTATGAACACAACGTGAGCAGCTGCCTGACACTCTTGCTGCTCTGCCTTTCCTCCATGGTGGGTGGTAATCTCAAATCCTGATCTGAAACAAATCCTTCCTTCCTTGAGTTGCTCTTCTCAGATATTTTGTCAAAGCAACAAGTAAGGCAACATATACACAGGCTTTGCCAACGCGGAAACACAGGAACAGCAAACAGAAAAAGCATAAAGCCAAGGTACAGGGAAGTGCTAAATCTATCATCAAGAAGGAAATCCATGTGTTGAGTTATTCTTTTATTTATAAAGATTTGTTTATTTTATTTACACACACACACACACACACACACACACACACACACACACACACACACACACACACACACACACACACACACACACAGTGCCTGTATGTATGTTCGTGGAAGGGGATATGGACACCACATGTGTGCAGTGCTCAAAGAGGCCAGCAGAGGGTGTCAGATCCCCAGGAAATTGAGTTACCCAGATGGTTGTGCGCCACCATGTGGGTAATGGGAACTGAAAGCAATTCTCCAAGAGTAACCATTGCTCTTAAGTGCTGTC